TTGTATTTTTCGGCAATATTTGAAATTCATATTCCCAAGAATTTCAATCATTATTTCCGTTTGGTTGTAACCCTTCTATAATCTGAAAAGGTGCAACGTTACGAACCCCCATAAACCCAAAAGACACGCCACTTCATCGCGACATTACTTTCACGTCTTCACATCGTGCGTTCTACAAAAGTTACTGTTCATCATCTTGCTTCTCCACTACGCCTTTCAAGAACCTTCACCAAGACTATATTTTGTTGCAAATGGCGACTCCACAAACCTCTTCTGATAACAACCTTAGTTTCGAAGATTTCCAAACCCTCCTTGCCAGACCATATATAAACTCGACTTTTCTCTCATTAGCTAACCCAGACCTCAATGAATTCTACCTGGGTCTATCGTTTAAAGACATTGAATCTATCGGAAAAGCGACGGTGGGTCAGTTATTTCCTTGTACTCAAGATCTTCCTTTTCTGAATCCGTTTCCTTTAAAGCCAATCCGGGAATGAGATATTCGTACTTGGCCTAAGTCTGATTCTGTTTTTCGTTTTTGGCATGCACGTTTAGTAAAACATGGCCCCACCAAAGCGATTTTTGATCGTGCTGAGATTTCAGACTTGCTAGAAATTGCACTACATCCCCCAATCTATGACCCGGTGTTGTTTCCGACTACATTAAGTTTTTGGTCTTCAGAATACAATACTTTTATTTTTCCCATTGGCCCAATGTCCATCACCCTGAGGAATGTTGGAGCCCTTGTAAATCTTCCTCCCTTGGGCGATACCATTTATCCCGGTATTATGGTCACTACTAATGCCCCAAAGTTCGATAAAAAACTTACTGAGTCTTACTCAGGCATGCAAGGGCTTTATACTGCCTCTAGCTCTGAGCCTTCTTACATTGAGCGTGTAGTCTTTCTTCAGGTTTGGCTTTGTAAATATGTCCTTTGTGTGCCTAGCATGAAACCTTCAATGAGTTATTTACCCATAGCGAATAAGTTGGCACGTGGTAGGTCCTTGAATCTTTGCTCGTTGTTCTTAGCCACCTTTTATAGAGGCATGGCTTCCCTCCAATTTCAATTGAGAACTAGAGCATCTCCCACTGGCAGTGGACCTCTTTGGCTCGTTCAATTGTGGTTGAGGACATATTTTCCACAGCATGGTGCTCCATCATCCCCTCCACGATCGGTCAGTTGTTACGGGCTATTTATCCATCAATTGGGCCCTGTTAATATGTCCACTAGGGACGTC